TTGCTTTTAGAAATAACCATTACTTTAGTTAATAGAAAGTGCAAGTACAGTATGTTTTGATGCTGTTTTGTTCCTGTACGTGGGGATGTACAGGTCTTTTGTATTCTTAAGTTAAACTTTTGTAAATCACTAACAAGCTTCAGAGAAAATAGCTTTTTCACAAGCGTATTCAAAACGTGTAATGTAGTGGCAAGGGTATTGCTGTAGCACCTGCTTCAACCAGCATATAGTTATCGTGCCCTGAAAAATAAACCTGCAACAGTATCTATTATAATTCTAAATTGGTACAGTATTTTAGGCAGCTCTATGATTAAATATATTTGAGAGCAATATGTCAATAGTTTGCAGGTGATATGTAGCAACAGGTATATCCTGATGTACAGTATATGTATTACCTTTTAGAACAGGTTTTGAAGTAGTAATTCAATCTTACATCATCATGGTAGGAAAATTTAAAGCAATACAGTTGAGGGGGTGGGGCTTTTGGCAATAATGGACAAAACCTGAAGTCCAATATAACTTAATTTAATTTTTTTCCTCTGAGTATACATGCCTGGGTGGAAGGGAGCCAGAGAAGCCGAGCGTTGCATGATACATACCTCACAAGCAGGTATAAGTGTAACACCAGCGTTCTGTGTGGTGGTGTTGTTTCTCCTGTAAGATATTTATACACATTTTTGTTCTTAAATACATTAAATACAGTACATCAACATAATTTGTTTATAATTTTCTGAAAGTGTATTTTAAATATGTATTTACCAGTTAATATGCAAATAATTGAGTTATAGATATTCTTTCACAAAAAGGTAGTACTGTGCAGTACAGAGTGATTTTTTTCTTTTTTTTTTCATAAAAAGTAGGTAAGACTATAAAATTGCTTTCAGTTATATATTTATGGTACTGCTAGATGGGTAATATCTCTCTTCTGTTTTTTTTCCCTTTTTCAACCCAGTATGTATATTATGCTGAAGTTTTGAACTGGGTTTGTTTTTCAGTACTTAGCCGTGGAACTGTTGGTGTAAATTTATTTTTGATAAAGGCTGGGTGTGTTTATTTTATGGTTCAGACCTGCACATTTTGTTTTTGCACAAAAGTCATTTTAAAGAATCTGAAATATATCTGCCAAATATTGAAAAAGTAATGGTGTGCAAGTAAATACTGCATTTTTAGTCAAATATTGCCATTACATCATTTTTATATAGAGGACACTTGTGAGAGATGGTGGTTAGATATGCCAAGGACAATTATTTTCAATGGTGCCTACACTGTAAAAAAATTACTTTTAACTCCTTGTTTTAATTTTAAAAAAAATGTTTCTGTTTAAAACTTTCATCTGCTATATAACTGAAATTCGATTAGAATTTATATCTGAGAAAAAAGTCTGGAAATAGTTTTTGAAAACAATAATGTTAAATGATTAAATAAATATTTTTATAAATGTGTAAAAGCAGCAAAAGTTGTAAATACAGTTGACCTGAAGCTTTACAAAATAACTGCATCACAGAAACAAATTGTAGTGCTCCTTTAGCTTCTGTAGTTGTTAGTCTTGTAAATCTGTTTATAGATGAAGCTTATTTCAATGTTTTGGGGGGTTTTAAATGGTATAAAAATAAATATTTAAGTTCTGTAAACTTTCATGAGCTTGTTCTGTTGTGCATTTTATTCTGGATTTTGGTAGATGTGCAGAGGTGTGGATATACCTCTTACAAACTTGTGTTCCAGTTCAGGAAAGGTGTTCCTTGCACAGAGTCGCATGGTTGCTTTGAAAAGGTTTGGGTCCCCCCATGCTGTTCTTGTCCGGAGGACACCTACCAGCTGCTACGCCGCAGGGAATGCTATAGACAGATGGAGCAGCCCCAGGGCTCAGTTTGATTCCATTCCTAAAGAGGAGTCTTCAGGATCCACGTGCTCAGACAAACGTGCACGGCCCGTGGCAACTCGGTAGAGATGTCAGAACGCTCTGACTTCGTTGTGAACTCGGCATTGCGGAGTGAAGGTACAGAAAGGCCTGTGCCACAGTTACCTCTGCGTTCACTTCAGCAGTCAACCCAAATCTCGTTTTGAAGAGCTCCATGCAAATTTCTTAGAATCAAAAACATGTTTTTACTTCCATGTCGCTTCCCTTAAGGTGTGCTTTTTATGTGGGAGACCGAGGGCAGAGGTGATGGGAATTCCTCCCAAATTTTGTAACTGGTGGCTCTACCCTGTTGACACAGGGTCTTTAATCTATGCAACTCTAGAAACGATTCTGGGTAGGTAGGGTTAGTGAATTATTTGGGAAATTGGAGCCTGTCCTGTTTGTGATATGACTGTAACACGTTGCTGAACTATGGTGCCTCTTCTTTTCCTGTGAAATGGGTGGGATGTGTACCTACCTCAGAGGACCGTGTGGGGGAAAAACTCATCCACATCTGTACAATACGGCCTCGTTCTCTTCAAGTCCATTCCGGAAGCTTTTTTATTGTACTGCATATGGCATTTCTGCACCTATAGTCTCTGTGCATCACAAGACTGTAAGCTCACTCTAAGGAACGGATGTCTGTATTGCTGGTTTTTTCCCCACCGTGTGTTAGGTATTGATGAACTGTGTAACTTAATCAGCAGTGTTCTGTTGCCGGCAGATAGCTGATGGAAAGATGTATCAAAACATTCATGCAGGAACCATCTTCTTGCTTGTTTAGTTTGCTAGGCTTCCCACTGTAGACTGAGAATAATGGATATGGAAGTAGTCTTATCAAAGCAGTCTGAATCGCAGAATAGAGAAATGTATTTGTTCTTGGGTAGATGAGTCCTTTATCAATGTAACCATTCTTAAACCCCTTGGTCTCTGGCTCCTCGAGTACGCTTCTGTACAGTAAGCATGTGGTATCGTCAGCACCTCTTCTCACATTCAACTGAATGTCTGTAGCTGAATAGGAAGGTGCATAGGTGCTTAATGTGTTTGCACAAAGTTTAGCGATTGTTAAAGGTCTGATTTTTATCACACTGTTTTGACTTAACACTGGAATAAAATTATTTTCCTCTTTGCAAAGTTCTAGTGGTATGTATGTTGGCTTGCCTTATTTCACATTTTTCCAGCAAATGAAGTAACACTTAATACAGAGATGAGGTAAATACACTGGAACCTGTCTTGGGGCTTCTCCAGGCTGAAGTTCCTGGTATACTGTGTACATTTTGCTACTTCTTATATCTTGACTTTCAGCAACTTTTTAGGCATAGGTGTGTATGTTGTGCATCTGAATTTCAAGATCAGCTTTATCTCTAAGTGATATATTTTATATGAACCCTAGTTACTTCGGTCCGAAGGCATTGAGTAGCTTAATGTTTTGACATTAATGCTGCTGTGCCTTCCCCCCCTTTAATAATCCTTGCTTGCGTAAGGGCTACCGAAGTTTACACTTTTCCAGGTACTGCTGTCTGTCTGTCACGGTCAGCAGACGGAATCAGCCCGTGTCCTCTCTCCATCCTCGTTTTCTTTCCTAGTGAAACACAGATCACTGAAACGAACGTTCTTACCTCTTTTGGGTGAATAGGGCTGAGCAGGGACCATGGGGAAGGACTTAACTTGGGGCTTATTTCAATTGTTCCTTGACACGTGAGCCACTGCTCGCTGGGATTGTGCCTTTAATTAGTCCCAAGGAAGGTACTTCACGCAATGAATTTAGCTTGAAGATGTTAATTGCTGTCACCTCTGCTATCGTTGACCACGGCGTAGGACAGTGCACGTGCTGTCCCACGGTGCTCTCGGGCAATGGAAAAATCAAAAAATAGTTCCCGAGTCCTTGTTTCTCCCCCTCAATGCTGTTTTCCCAGCATAGTCCTGAATGCCAGAGCTGGCAGCTCCTGGGGATTGGGGCAGTGGGGCTGTACCTCGATCCCGCTCGGTGGGACTGTGTGTTCTGGGACATGCTCAAGGTAAGGGCTGGCCAGGGTCAGCTTTACCTTGTATCTTGGCATGCTTTAGGAGCTAACAGTGATTGCAGGTTTGTCTGCGTGCTTAAGGTATAACCCCTCAAGGGACGTTCTCTGGGGGCTGTGTGTGCAGTCTGTATTTGAAACACTGCTTCCCCCCCCCCAAATCATGCGTACAGACTGCCCTACTTACATGCTCCACTGAGTGAGTGGTGGGTCTTGCTCTTGCCAAGGTGCAGAGCTTTGGGGAAGGGAAGAAACAACTCTATAACCAGAACGATTATCCTTTTTTTTAGTAGAAGGTGCGCTAGAGATGTGCAGCAAAAGCAAACCCGGCAGCGTGCTCTCTTGTTGATCTAACACATTTCTTTGAGACAGGAAAGGCCCAGAGGGATCCAGCAGGCAGCTGCGGGAGAGGGAGAGCAGCCTGGCAGCCTCACGGAGCAACGAGGGCTGCCCGGGAGGTGCAGGGGAAGGTGGGCTGGGGGTGCAGGTTGGACAGGGCAGAAGGAACCCAAAACTGGTGTGAACAACTGATTTTTATTGTTCAGCTTCTTAAAGAAAGGACAGCGATGCACAGGGTGAGCAGTGCCCATAAGCCCAGTTCTTTTTACATTTTAACCTATTTTCTGTCTTTGCCCCAGCTTCCTTGTTTCTGAAATCCATTTAGTAGGTCACAGTAGTTTCCTCAACCGTGGATTTACTGGGCTGTCCCTCTCCTTACAGTCACGTCTTAGAGAGTCTTGCAGGATTCTTAAAGAAAAGTAACAAGATCCTCCCCTAAATTCTTAACAGAGGTGTCATCGTTCTCCAGTTTTCTGAGTGGATTTCATGTAGGTTTAGGATAATTATAAGTTTTTGTAATAAAAGTACTTCCAAGAAGTATCTTTATACCTTTTCCCTTCAAGGGAGCAATAGATAAATTGGGAATCCCCCTCCTGCCACGCCATGGATGGTGAGCAGTCCCATCTCCTGCTGCTTTATAGCTAGAAACAGCCCTGGTAAAAATAACATTGCACTCACTCACATAGCAAACAGGGAAGTTTGGAAGCACGGTGGTTACAGTGGGCTTTCTAATGCCAAGGGGAAGCACCAGCTGCCTGTTTCTTTCCTACCCCCTCTTGAGATCTTTTTCCACATGCTGCTTAACTGAGGCCTGATCTGGGGGACCAAAGGACCCCCTTACATGCCTCGCTCCCCCAGATTTAAGCAGGCCACTGAGCAGGGGCTGTGGAGCTGCTGCCAGCAAATGACAGCTAACAGACGTACGAAGAGCAGAGCTATACGGTATCGTTCATTGACCCACTTCCCAGAGCTCGCTGTTGGGTGCTACTAAATGATTTACAAGCACCAATGGGATATTTCTTGGGGGAGGATAATGCTGTAAATGGGCTGGGGAGCAGAGCGAGCTGTTTGCTTCCTCCATGGCTCCAAGCACTGCAAGGAGCACCCCACACGTGCAGCCCCGTCCTCCAGGGCCCGGCGCTCCCTGCAGCAGGCGAGGGAGGAGAGGCAGGAGGGAGGAGATGGGCTCCATGCTGTGTCTACGGGGCGGCAGCTCCTGGAGCAGCCTCTCCGGGCCATCCTGCTCATCTCCAAATGGGCCACAAACACCCTTTTCACCAGAGTGCTCCCCTACAGCTGTGACAAACAGCTGTTTAAGCTCTTCCATGAGATGTCTCTTCTCTTTTTCGCCCTCCCTCCAATGAAGACTCCGGTGGCTGAGCTCCAAGCATGGCCAGCAGCTGCCCTGTTGGGGAGGATGCAAGGTCTTTGCAGGGCTTTAGGAGAGCCCTGGCCCCTCTGCCTGGAGCAGGACCCCACCTGCAGTGGCAAAGACACTCCAGCGTCCACGTGTGGTGCAGGGGTTGGGTACTGCTGAACGCTGCCCTCTTGTCCGTTAACATTCTCTATAGCTAAGCGCACTCCCGCAACACAAGCCCATCAATGTTTCACAAGCAGTAGGCAGTCCTGCAAGCAAGAGTCATCTTTCTGCAGCCCCTAATCAGTGCCAGCCATCTCTGCTCCCTCCGGCCATTGTCAGGCACCTAGGTGAAATACCGGGAGGCCCCCCTGGAAGTCCTCTCTTCAGCGGTGCTGGTGGCGAAGGACTGCCGCAGCCCCGGCGCCAGCCCTTGCTGAGCCGGCACATGCCGAAAGATACCCGCTTTCCGGCTGCTCAGCACGGGGCACGGCCCCAGGGGCCTGAACTCGGAGCCATATGGGAAGCGGATGGTTTTCATGTCTGACTGGCTCCAAGACCGCTTGGGAGGCTGCTCCTGCAGGCCATAATCGAAGGAGCGAGCCAGCGACCGGCTCTCCCCCACCGGGGCCATGCTCGTGTCTGCTGCCACGCACGCAGCCTCGCGATGAAATTCCCCCACCTGGGTCCCACTCCGGCGCTGCCGGGGAGGTTTTGCTGCCACAGGGACGCATCCACCGACTGGTCCTGCTGCGTCCTCGCTGGGCGGCGGTGCATGGCAGGGGGTCTGTGGGGGCCTGTCCAGGTAGAAGAGGACCTGCGGGGCCGGGGTGGCCACGGGCATGGGGCACGGCACGTCCGTGTACACCAGCTGCCGGGTGCTCACCTCCCGCATGTTGCCCACCGAGGTGCTTTTACTGTTCCCGGCGAACTGGTGGTGGGGCCGAAAGGATGTCAAGGGGTTCCTGGCGCTGAAGAGGTCGGCGGGCTCCCATGCCCGCTCCAGCTCCAGCTCAGCGTAGAGCAGGGGGAAGGCAGATGAGCTTTTGGAGTGGGGCAGGAAGGCAGGAGTCTCTTCGGGCTTGGAGCGCTCCAGCTCGGCAGCAAACGTCACCTCCACGGCGGAGCTGCGGCGCTGGCTGTCCAGCATGGGCTCGGAGCCGTGCACCCCGTTGGCATGGTAGGAGCCCCGGCCCCCGTAGGCCAGGCGCAGCTCTTCCACCTGAGCAGGGGCAGAGGGTGGGTGGGTGGGTGTCAGAGTGGGGCTGTCAGTGAGCCCCAGAGCCGAGGGTCTGGTCTGAGCTCTGCCAGCCAGGGCTGCAATGCCAGGACCCCCCAGGCATGGCCCTGCCTGTTGCTGAGGCCACAGGGACATACCTGCTTGGAGACGTCTGTCAGGAGGTCCGGAGAGGAGCGGCACTGCCTCTCGTCGTAGCGGGATGTGTAGTGCTTCCTGCAAGACCAAGAGCACGGGTGGGTGCTTGGCCAGGAGGGTCCCATCACCCTGCCCCACCCCAGGCACTGCACCCCTCCATGGCCCCAGTACCTCTCAAAGGGCAGGCTCTTCATCTTCGCCTTCCTCCCATGCTCCAGCATCTGCCTCTGTGTCCTCCCACTGCAGCAAGGGGGAAAAAGGCATGAGCAGCACCGTCAGTCCCGGCCCTGGGCATCCCTGCATCCCAGGGAAGGTGGGGGGATGGAGCAGGACCGAGGCAGTGGCCTCTCCAGGAAAAGCAGCTGTTGGGCATCATCTCCTCACATCCACCCAGGACCGGCATAAAGGGGAGGCTCGGAGCCATCCCCACACCCTTCCCAGTCCCAGCTCTTTTATTTTTCCCCTGGGACTTTACCTGTAGCGGAAACTGGAGCCCTTGCTGCACAGAAGGGCTTTGGGCTTTGACTTGGGCTCTTCGGACAGCCTGAAGAAGGCATGGTACTCCACACATGTCTTCCAGAAAGCCTTGCAGGCATCCCGGCTCGCCATGGTGAACTCCAGCGTGTCCTTGCACAGCGCCTGCGAGGCCACAGAGAAGTGAGCCAGAGTCAAGGGCGCAGGGCCAGGCTCTGCTGTTTGCCCTCCTGACCCCCCCCAAAGGACCTGGGCTGCCAGTGGTTCCGGGCAGTGCAGCCTCACCCTGCTGGGGACACAGGGGTGGCACATGCCATCCTCGGGGTCGGGGGAAGGAGAATCAGCCACGAGCAGCAGAAACAGATCTTATTCAAAACTGGGGACTTGGCTGATCCTTGGTTTACAGCTGCCTGCTCCTGAGCCTGGCAGCTGCCTGCAGCACTGTACTTACAGAGATGTTGGCATGGAGCTTGATGAGAAAATGCTTCCTCTTGAAACTCAGTTTGCGAATTTTGGACCAGTTGAACGTGTTGATCTTTGTATTGCCCTGCAAGGACAGATACAGCAGTCAAAGCAGGACTTGCCCCAAGTCAGAATTGCAGAAGCATGATGGGCCAAATCCTGAGCCTGCAGGACACTACAGGGGACCCCCAGCACAGCTCTCACTGCTGCTGGGGTCTGAGGAAGGTCTAGGATTTGGTGGTTGACCCTCCTCTCCATCAGTCTGTCCCAAAAATGGACACTGAGATTCAGGGCTTAACCCTGCCCACTGAAGCTATTTGTAAAGCTCCAGGACCCCAAGACAAACCTCATGGAGGTGAAGGCAGAGCATCCCATCCATCCCAGCACACGAGTCAGGTGAGTTAAGGCAACATCAGCCCCCCTCAAATGAATAAGACCCTCCTCTCCTTTGCTGGGAAGCATAGCAGCCCTCAGCTCTCTCACATACCTTCAGACCCAGCTTAAGCAGTCTGCAATCATACCTTACCCTCACTGTAATTCTGCATCACTTTAGATGCAGCCACACAACACTGGGGTCGTGGCAGGACCAGGTAAAATTGCGTTACTCCATGCTGTGGCACTGAGACCCTCTCAGCTTTCTAGGAGAGCCCAGATTTTAATGAGCTCACAAGATGCTCTAATCACGTGTGAGGGGTGTTTATGGCTCTGAATAAATACCCAGGTCTGGCGGTGCTAATTATGAACAGCAGACCCACAGTTAGGAATTATATTTTTTTTTTCTTGCTCTGGCAAGATGTTCCCAGGTTGAAATTAGCTGGTGTGGGAGGCAAGTGCTGCTTCACGCTGGCTGCAGGGAAGTCTGTATTTGTTCTGCAGCTAGGCTGTGATTACAGCACTATGTAATTGCACAGACGTAGGGCGGCTATTTTTGCGGGAAGATTATACGGTGAACACATGCGACGCAGCCCTGTAACCTGTGGTGCTTACACGGCTGCGCTCGCCGTGACAGGAGCCAACAGAGCCGGGGCAGGCGCGGCGGCGAGCAGCTGGCGCTGGTGGGGATGATGGGGCTGAGCCCCACAGCGATGCCCGTGAGCACCACCCCTGTGCCCAAGGCCTGCCGGGGCACGCTCCCTCTTGTAGGATTTGGGAGGGTTTGGAGCACACGGTGGGGAGGAGAAGGGTGTCCCCCCCCGATGTCCCTGGGGAAAGGCCACCCCACCTGGGTGCCACACCCCCGAGCCCCCGGCTCACCCGCAGGACCAGCACCCCCATGTGCGTCACAGCCAGGTTGATCTGTGTCCCCTCGCCGTCGCTGGCGGGGTGCGGGCGAATCCCATACATCTCCAGCTTCCTGGCCACATCCAGCAGCTGAACGTCCGACTCAGCCGGCGTCTTCCCGCTGGATACACAAACATGCCAGGAAGCAATAAGAGCGATAAGCAATAAGGCAGCCGCTGAAATGGGCTGAAAAGATGCCATTTTGGATGTGTGCATGCTGGCATCACATCCACCCCACTGCTGGCCCTGCCTGCTGACGGCAATGGCCCCATCGGCAGGCACCCACCGGGTGCTTTGGCGCGGAGCAGCCTCACCTGTGTCTCCGGTGGTAGTGCATGATCTTGTTGTCCAGGTACTCCTGGTTGGGCAGGTACCTGTGGGTCGCCAGGTGCTGCTGGTCCGTCTCCTCGTGGAAGTCACCCAGCTCAGCTACAGGGGACACCGGGGGAGCGGGGTTAGGGGGAACACCTGGCCCCCCCAGCCAAAGCAAAGCCCCGTTGGGCCCCGCTCCCCGGGGCAGGGGCACCGTCCCGGCGGGCTCTCTCCTGCCCTTACACTGCAGCAGGTGGGAGACGAGCAGCGCCGCGCTCTTGTCACTGCAGGGCAGCCGCCCCAGCGCCAGGTCCTTCTTGATCTGGAGGGTGAAGAGGTACCTGTGGAGGGGGACAGGAGCCCTGAGGCGGGGCCGGGCTCAACAGGGGCTCTGCCACGGGGGGTGGGGGGGTGCGCCTGCCCCCGTGCCTCTCCCTGTGCTCGCCCATGTTTTAACCCAAGGGATGCGGGTCCACGGGGGCACAGGAGGAGCACTCAGGCCCCACAGAAGGATGCAGCTGGGCACCACTGTGACCAGTATGCTCCTGCCATTTAAATGCCCAACAGTAGGTTTCAGAGTTAACGTTCCTTTATGCTTTGGAGGGCACTTGCATCTCTCGGGGCTAATGTTCTGCAGAAGCACTGTCTTAGTTTTATTCTTAGTTCCTGTTTGCAATGCTTTCTCTAAAACATAAGAGCTAACAGTGTCATTTTTAAAATTAAAATTAAAATTCTTCTTTCAGAACACGGCTTGAGGCAGGAGCTAGACCAAGCTACATCAGACTCAGTGCCCAGCTGCTAAAGCGTTTGGCAGTAAGCAGCCTCTTAAGATGGCTGATCTGTCAAGTGGATTTTGTTTAAAAACAGTGAATCAAGAAAAGATACTCTCCCAGTTTTTGTTTTGTAAAGTGCAGAACTCTCTCAATATTTTGGATAACCAGTGCTCACAGGCAGGTTTGGGTGGGTGAAAAGGAATTAAATGCATGCTTCACAATTGCAAAGATACAGGACCATGCGGTAAGAAAGCAATAGAATGTGTACTGTACCTGGTCAGCTCTTCTCGCAGATGGCCGGGGTCCACTGGGAAAAATTTCACCATAAATTTGAAAAGAACCTCCTTAGGATCTTAAAACACAACACCTTCATAAGTTTTCTTTTACGTGTCTATTGAGAACATTTACAACTCTCTTCACACATGCTGTCTCCTTACAGACTAAATGGCTCTGGGCCCGTACAAACTAGGGCTGGAAGCCCTGAGCATCACAACTCCAGCCTGCCCCAACGACCAGCCTGCCCAGCCCCCCAGTGTTACCCATGGGAGCGAACAGGGGGTTGGGTGCCTAAATAATACTCAAGAGAAAGGGCCCCGGCAATTCTTTAAATTGCAAAGATGCCCCCTGCCAGAAGCAGGGGTTTCGTGGAGTGGTGCCACAGGTGCCTGTCTGGAATGTGGCCAACAGGGGGGCTGTACATTAAATCCAGCCCTCCAAGCACTTGGGATGCAACAGCTCCATGGGAGCTTTTTTGTGGGATGAGTGAGAGCAAGCAGCTGTGCCCAAGGCAAAGAGCATGGAGGGAGGAAGGCAATTTTTGAGGAACCAGCTGCCCCACACCGTGAGACATGGAAAAAGAAATTGGTTCTTTAAATAATCCCATTTCTGGTGCACCCAGAAAGGGGAGGCTCTTTTTCAGGCTTTCTCCTTACAGGGAGATTCATGCAGACACTGTACCACAGCCTCCCTGCGGCAAACACTGGGGTCATGGCTTCATCCCCTTGACCCTCCTGGTCATCACATATTTGGGGAAAATATAATTTGGTTCATTGTGGGGGTGGAAACAGGCATAGGCTGAAAGGAGCACTGTGTTGACATTGGCTGGGGCTATGGCAGGGGATGCAGAGCCAGAATTCAGGTCAGGCTCCGCAGCATTTCTGTGCAGCGGCACGGGGGGCTGGGGGGGAGCGGCAGAGCTTGCGAGGCACACGGCTAACCCTGCTGCAAGCAGGGCTCGTGCCGTGCAGGCGTCTGGGCTGCTATGAGCTGCAAAGGGGAACGGAGGGCACGCGGGGAGCGATGCCTGCCGCTCTGCCAGCCCAGCAATGCACACACGCAGCCGCCCCTGCTCCTCCGCCAAGCTGTCAGGTTATTAACAGCCCGAAGCTAAAATGGAGCAGATACCAGATTGCAAAGGCAGTGGTATTTCTACCAGATTTTATATGGACTGTGGTGTCTTTGGAAACAATCCTGCCCAGCCTCACACTATAAAATGAGCTCAGGCAAATGCAGGAAACTAAAGCCCCCATCCCCAAGCAATAACACTGCACCAATGTGTCTGCTCTAGTCTGCCACTGGCAACGTCTTAGAATTTTGTTCTTGAAATACTTACTTTTGACCTGCTTTGTTATGGGTTTTAGTGGTTCCAACCAGACCTGAAATAAGTCAATGAAGAACTGGGTGGATAAACAGCACAAGAGGAGGGGAATAAAAGCAGCAGCAGCATGCAAGAATGCAACACAAAAATGTTAGCCAGCTGGGCTGCTGCAGCAAGCTGCCCCGCTGGGCAGCCCCGCAATTCCATCAGCCATGGCTACCACCAGGGCTTTGCCAACTGGCTTGTGGCTCTACTCATAACGCTCATTTTTAAAGGGGTTTTTTTTTTGGCATTGTGGCAAAACTTTCCACTGCAATTTTCCATCTGGTATATCAGGGAGGTGCTAGCAAGCCCCCGGCCCCGCAGGAGGTTGCTGCAAGGATGTGGCACAGTGCAGCACTGGGGCCCCGCGCCACGAGCTGCACTCACGTGGTTCCCCGCCTGGCTGCGAAATTCCAGCCCGAAGTACTCCTTCTCCGCAAGGTTGAGGTGGCTGCAGGTGAGGTTGAACAGCCCTTTTCCGCAGGATTTTTGCTAGCAAACAAACACACCATGGAAGCAGCAGGTTAGACAACGCCGACAGGAGCAGTGATGGGATTTCAGTGAGATGGGGGAGAAATTTTAGCTCCCTGCCTTCACCCCGAGAGGAGCAGTGGGATTTTTCCTGATCATGTTGCAGCAAAACCTTACTCAGTTTATGCTGTTGGCTTCAGCATGTGGGACAGGACAACTGCCCACTGTGTGCCCCTTACCTCTGCTCCTGGAATTCAAATTCCTTCTCATCACTTCTCTCCTTTATTAAGAAATGTCAATCAGAAAGGAAAGGAAAAGGAAAGAAATCTTGCTTTTGGCTCACCTTTCGCTATCATCACTGTCTGGGCAGCTCCACCCCTGGCAAACCAGTGAGTGATCTCTGGGATGAGCATCCGCCCGAGCCAGGGATGGCCATGGCAAACGTGCTCGCTTAAGAGCAAACGGGAGCACACCTCAAGCCTGTACAGCGAGCCGGTGTGCCCCAACAGCCGGCAACCGGATTGCCGGGGATGAGCTGCTATTATGGTTAATGGTAATTAACAGCAACAAGACCCTGGGGACATCCTGAGCCTTGGGCCCTGGGTCATCCGTGCACTTTAGCAATATTAATTAAGTGGCACTACATGCTGATAAGAGAGGCCAGGCTGTAGTTATTCCCAGTAAACAGAAACACTTGGAGGGTGTTTTGCTTGACTTGTTGCCATGCTGTGACACGGCTGGGGAACAGCCCAGGAGGCCCCTAACTTTGGAAAATGCTCCAGAAAGCACCAGGAATGAACCTGGCAGTGACCCACCCCCAGCAAAAACCCTCCTACTCCTTTATCAGCTCATGAAAAGCAAACCAAAAATGAGCGTGGGTTAGCGCAAACGCAAACCAGAGCAGAGCGGACGGGTTAGACGGCTGCTAAATTACGGCATTCCGGGTGATGGAGGTGAAGGCAGGCTGCAGCTCCCCGTGCCAGCGGCTGCTCCCAGCAGGGACGGGAGGGACCCCGGCTGCTGGCAGTGGTGCACACTAATAACCACCTTTCACAGCTTCTCCTGGGATGAAATTGCTGGCTCCATGCTGAAAGGCTGCTGAAAAGTGATAGCGTAATAACAGCATTCGCTCTGCAGCACTCCCGGTTCTCCTCAAAATTACTAGATCACAAGGGTAATTAAAACAATTATAAATGTTTATTTCCAAGCTAGAATTTTCTAGCATGAAAGGCCTTGGCCTTTGTCAGGCAGCCAGGAAAGACAAGCGTTTCTTACCGGGTTATTACCCACCACACGTCTGCTGGGAGTGACCTGCTCTCCTCCAAGCCCAGCACTGCCCAGGGCAGCGGAGACATGCGGCTCCATCCCCAGGAATCTGCTCACGGGGGAGATGCAGCCCTGTGATGCAGGGGGTGGTTTAAAAGCAGAGGCTTTCCTCTTGCAGAGCTGGGCTTGCAGGTGCCCCATTCTGGGTTTGTGGGGTACCAAGGCCCCGGCCAGCGCTGCTGGAAGCACAGGGGTACGGTTGTGCTTGGGTCAGAGTCAGGCAAGAGCTGTGACAGAGGAGTGCGGCCCGAGGTAGAAGCATCCAACCCTAAATGTGCCTTCGATGATGCTGTAGGGCCAGGGTAGCACCCACAGGCAGAAACCCCTGTGTAGAAGACGGTGGAAAGGAGAGGCTGCGCTCGCCCCTCCTCTCCACGGTGGAAGCAGCCAGGACTGTAAGTAGGGTAAGAAATCAAGAGGCACATCCAGAAGAAGACAGCAACATGTGTGACACATGGGGACACACACACCCATCCCCAGAGGACACCCTGGCAGCATTTGTGCTCCAACAGCAAAGCCACATTTCTGCAGTGCTCCCCGTAGCACAGGCTGCTGCACCCAGGTCTGTGGTTTAGTGGGAGCGACAGCTCATGGGTTTTGGTGTGATCTTTCCCCAAGCACCTCGGGAGATGTCCCCTGGTCGGTGCCTTCTGCATGGCCATGGCTGGCATGCACTGCCATGCTCCAAAAGCCACCAGTCTGGAAGCTCTGCACGCCCTCGCTGGACCAGCTCTGCACAGCTGCTGACAACAAATTCCCGCCTTTACTCATCGTAAGGGACATGAGACAACGGGAGACTTTGTTCTTCACTCAGCCCCAGCAATCGGTTCTTCTGGGTTTGTTTGGTTTGCCTTTTCTTTCTTTTTTTTCCTTCCCACTGCATCTTGCCCTGTAGCAAATTCCGCCAGCAGAGATGCCCAGGCTTTGTCTGCCCAGGCTGCAAAGTGGTTTGCCCTTTCTGTGATGCTCTGGAAGGGCTCCCGTGGCTGCCCAGGCTCAGGGCTGCTTTGTTTAAACCCTTTCCAGGAGAAAAGGAATGACTTGATGGGCATGAGCACATGCCAGGTCACAGCTCTAGGTATCCGGGGAGGGGGGAGGAAGAAGGGAGGCAGCTTTGCAACATCTCCTCTCAGTGCAAGAAGCCCATTACAGGCTGACCTGTGCTGTCCCTGCACACAGGCATTGGGGTAGGGGATCCCAGTGCCCTCCCAGTGCAAGGCTCAGGGCTTGCTGGCACAGCTGCCAGCATCCCAGCAAGATGCCGTCCATGCCACAGCTCAGCCCTGGGGTGTTCAAGCAGGGAGGACACAACAGGGGACATTCGGAGATGTGTGCCGGGCCCCCGCCTTCCCCCACCCTGGGGGCTCAGGCCTGGCTTGTTGGTGCCATCCCAGGAACCGCCTCCAGCGCCCAGGCGAAGGAAATCCTGGGAGCTCAGCAGCCATGGTGAGGGTGCCGGATCCCAGCCGTCAGTGAGGATGAGGATGGAAGCAGAAGCCTTACCAGGCCAGCACCCAGCACCGGGAGAGGAGCTCATTCCTGTGCAAAGCCAGACTGGGAATGAGACCTCGTTGCACGTGCCGGCGGCTGTGGTACCCACGCGAGGGTATGGATTCGTACGCCAAGTGCAAGGGGAATCAGGCCCGCAGTGTTTTCCCTCTTTTGTCCTTTTCCCTCCCATTAGACTGAAGTACTGCACATTCAAAAGAGCTTTCCCCGGTCAGAGGGGGTTTAGTAAGAGTTGCTTGAAATATCTGCGCAAAACTTAGCCCAAAGCAGTCCTTTTACAATGGGGGAGTCAGTAATTCAAGTATTCATTTATCATACCCGTACAGCATCAAATGCATGAAATGCCTGAAAGGGGTTTCCAATACCATTCCACGCTAAAAAAGGGAATGACCAGGAGTTCCTCTAATGGAAGCTATTTGCTGCAATAACATGTCGTGCAGAGCTATAGTGCTGTAAGTGTTTTGGGTGAATAAGAAAGCAGAGATGGAAAAAATACAGCAACATTGTACCAGCAGCATGTTTTAAACTGTCTCTTCCTATGCCCTGATTTAATCAATATGAAAAAAAAAAAGACATTTTAAAATGACTAGGCTCATTTTTAAGCTGACTCCAGGTCTAGGATACATTAATTAAACTAAATCAGACAACTTCCACACTGTGCCAAGGGGTGGAATTGCTTCACCATCCGCTTTTGTGCGAAAAGCTATTGCAAAGAAAAGGAGCAGTGTGTCCGAGACCGAGCAGTTCACAGGCTGTGCTATAGAACCAGGGGACAGGACAGCCTAGGAGATGTAACAGAACTTGGAAAAAACAGTTTCATATTAAACACTCTGGTCCCACAAGAGATGCAGGTAAGTGCTAGAACAGATCTGCTTGAATTAGCTAATTCAATTAGCTACTGTGATTATCAAATCCTAACCAACAAGAAATGCTCAATCACACATGTGAAAAGAAGTGTTCCCAGCACAGTCAAGATATCTCCAGCTTCAGTTAGCTACATACATCTGTACACATAAATCTAACACCATGGATATTAATACTTAGCATTTAAAACCTAGCATTTATTTATTGTATATCAGAGCCATCATTTATTAAATGGGAATTATTAATGGCAGTGTGTTGTGGGATACTGTGATGCAGAAAATAAGACACAGGGAGGTTTTTTTTCCTCAGCCATTCACAAACCCACACAATTTTCTTTTTCAACTGAATGCCCAGGAGGAGATGCATGCAGATGTTTCTCACCAGGGGTAATTTGGTTAAACACGCAGTTTTTATTCTGTTCCCAGATTTTTCTTCCTTGCTGAATGCTTATACTGGCAACCAGATAAACGAGAGAAGCACTCAATACTTGTCAGGAACATCACTTCATATTACCTGCTTTCCAAAAGATGACACCAAATAAGTAAAAGCCATTCCTCCTCCTTTATAAATAATGCCAATAAGAGGGGAGAGCGGGAATGTGTCGGTGCTGAAAGACACTTCGCAATCAGTGCTACAATCTTTTCTTTTTTTATTTGTTTTTTCTTTTTTTTTTTTTAAAGCTGAAAACCAGAAGCAATCAGAGACCATGCAATCCTTCAGAGCAGCAACAACTTCATTAACCAGCACAACCCCCCAGTAAGAATACAATATCCACTTACATCAACTACAAAGATCTTCTGGGAGTCATCCAGAAACTGGACTTTCAGGTGCAGCATCCTCGAGCATGTGGCTGAGCACACGGCAGGCACGGCAGTCCTAGGGATGTGAGCGGCGTGACGGGAAGGGAGCCCTGACTCCTCTTGCACACATAATTTCCCTCTCAGCTGGATGGAGACGGCTGCAGTCACAGATGTGGAGCGGAGGCTGGAGCAAAAGAACTGAATGCCTAAAAACAAGTTTAAAAAAAAAAAGCAAACAACTGATACCTCCCCTGGTTTAAATATCACACAGCGTTAAAGGATATTTCCTCCCTGTGAATTATGGGTGTATTAATAGGGGAAAGGCTGGGCAGCAGCCCTGCAAGAGTGGCACTGATGGGGCTGAGTTAAGGACTGAGCTTTCACAGCTGGCAGTGAGCAATGCGAGGGCAACGCGAGCCCACGCGTCGTACCGAGCAGCAACCCTGCCAAAGCCACCGAGCAGCCAGCGTTGCCTCTTCTCTGGGCTGGTTAAGGTGAGGCGATCCCATGCTTGCTCCATGAGGTGGGCAGGTAAGGTCCGATCCGCTGAGCAGATGCGTGCAGAGCTGGCCAAAGGGCTGATGTACTTCATTGGAGACTGGGAAACATTTCCAGCTGAACTTGAAACCCGCTGGGAGTCCTTCCCAGGGAGGCAGAGGAGGACCTGCTGCTAATTCCCAGCTCGCACCCCGGGTTGGCAGCTGAGTGAAGTCTCACAAGCCTTTGAGATGACCCAGTTTCCATTTCGCACCTGAACAACCCATGTCCCAGCACTCTGGCTCATCCTGCGAGTGCCAGAGCCAGCTGCCCGCCCTCGAAACCCCCTGGGGCTCAGCCCAGGCTGCAGGGCGCAGCCTCCCTGCATCATGGTGGGTGCCTGGGGCTTGCACGGACGCTGTTCCTCTGCCCCAGCTCCTGTGGGCCCGTGATGAACTGCCTGACCTCTCTGGCCCCGCTCGCCTGGCAGAGCCCCCCCCCCTTCACTGAGCATTGGGATGAAGGCAGCGTTTGGGCAGGAGCCCCCGCTTGTGGAAATAAGTGCGCTGAGTAGTGCCAAAAGGCAGGCGCTGGGCTGTCATAGGGGATCTTTGTTGCTGCTGCTGCTGGAAAAAGCCTGTGGGACCCAGGGCAATGGAAATGCATCCCAGCAAACCGAAAAAGCTGCATTAATTGTTGCAGAGAGTTTGCTTGTTGCTTCCTTCTTGGTTTCCAATGAAACATCCACCATAAGGCACTCCAAGCCATTTGCTGTGGTCCCTCTGATGCTTCCCAAATATTCCTGGGGATGTCAGGACAGAGCCTGTCAGAGTACACACTTAGTTTGCCATCTGGGCTGCAGAGAGGAAAAAACGTATTGCTCCTTAGCTATAGAAAAACCTATTAGTCTTCTACTGACTGGGACAAAAAAGACGCATAAAAGTTAAAGCAAATCTGCTTTTCCATGTGAATCTGCTTCACAAAGCAGCTGAGCTCATCTGCCAGTGGCTGGGAGGGTCTGGCTGTACCCAGCGTGCAGGCACGGCCTCCGAGGACAAAACTTCCATGCTGCCTCAGCCCGGGATCTGAGCTTTTTGTGCCACAAGAGAAGGGCAGTGTCACATACAAACCATCCGGGGGGGCTGAGTGCACTTTCTCTCTGCAGTTTTAAATGTTCAGGCCATCAAACACTGATGGGCAATGAGGAGAAGAGCAGTGCTCCTGCGAGCGGCTCACACGCTGCAGGCACAGCTCCACCACAGCAGCACTGGGAGCATGGCAGGAGCGCTGGACCAGCAGGAAGGGTGCATGGGGGTGTGATGGAGGAGTCCCCAAACCGCAGAAGGCAGCAAACCTCCCTGCTACAGCCTTTCCTGGCATGCTGGGAACACCGACCCTGGGCTCCGTGGATGCTATTAGAAGCCACGCACCGGCCAGCTGGGTTGTAGGTGGGAGAAAAGGGGTTTTTTTTCACTACTGTGGCATGAAGGAAGAGGACTGTGTTTGGTTTATCAGGGCCTCTAGCCACTCTATAGAGGCATTATGCACACAGTTTGGAGCCAGCAGAGGCAAATAGGGTGAATGAGGACTTTTTTGGAGCAGGAGAGTAAGGAACAGCCAGAAGAGATGTGACCTGGGACATGGGTATTGCTGCTGAGAGCAGAGGAGAGCTGCTGCCTCAGCAGATGAGAGACCCATTTTACCCCCACCTTTGTTCTTCCGGAGGTGTCCTGGGGGCCGGCCAGAGCAGGGCACATGGGGAGCACCAGCAGCCCAGGAAAAGCAATCCTAGTTCCTGGTCAGAGTCAGTGCTGACCTCCAGCCAGGCACGCACATCCTCCTCACCCACAGGGGCAGGGAATAAGGTGAAAATGGTGTGGGAAAGGACAGAAAAGGTGAAGGCAGCTGTACCGGCAGACAGGGAGAGGACCCTGAGCAGCATCACTGAAGCACAGCAGGGTCTGAGCAGCAGCACAGTGGAGCAAGTACTGCTTCAGGGCTGTTTGCTCAGCCATCTTGGCCCTTGCTTTTTAATACTCTGGACCCCACTACCACCATCCTGCATTGCACCGGCTTTCTCAGGGAAGACTTCAGTCCATCGAGTGCATCCAAGCCCATATTAGGCTGGATGTATTGCCTTGAATCAGGGTCTTCTTCAGCCTCTCAAACACCCTGGTGTTTGCTGAGATGGACCAAGCAGAGCAAGAAACAAGAAGTCTCCTTCCTCCCAAACCCTGTTGCCCCTTTTTCAAGGTGAATTTTCACACTGGTTGTTAGGGTTTGCTGGTTTGTTCCCTCGCTGGCCCCGGAAGCGGGAGCAGCCTGCAGGATGTCTGATGGAGAGCTGAGTCACTGCGGTTACGCTCCGCAGAGCCTCCCAAAACAGCGAGCCATCGGCACCCGGCAGCAAGCGAGTTCAGCAGTCTTCCTCCAAAAGGGCTTGCTTTGGGCCATGGGCATGGGCGAGAAAATGCCCCAAACCTCCCCGGTCACTCCCTGGGTCACTCCTGAGAAAGGAGCAGGCTCTGAGAGAGCAAACTCCAGCAGAGAGGAGGTGTAAGATGTGAGCAACCGCGGCTGGGAGGGCAGGGTCCCAGCACTTGGGAGGGCAGAAGTGCCCGGCCACCGAGGGAGTGCACACCGCTCCTCCCGCATCGCCGGGGCCGCAGCTCTAGCACTGCTGTACCATGTGCTTTGTCATGCTTACCTTCAAATTCAGTTTAGAGGAAAGGAAAAAAGAGGGCTAGATAAAGTCATGGAATAGAGATCTGCCAGGAGATTTTAACCACCATAGTCCAAAAGGCAAGAACCCATTCCTGACTCATTGCTGAGAAGCACTCATCCTGGTTTTCACACTCAAAGCATTTGCTATTGGCAGGGACAGGGACTCACCCAGGTGGACTTTGGTCTGCGGTGGCCTTTCATACACTTGCATCAGACTTCCTCTTCCTCAGCCGGAGCTGCTGGGAGAGCATCCACATTCACTCCTCACCCAGCCATAGCCCTCCCAAGTGCTGGGCCAGGCTCAGGCACAGCCGAAGTCCTTCTGACCAGCACTAGGCACATGAGAGGAACATTGTCAGCTGGTTAATAAATCCAAGGCATGGCACCAATACTGCAAAACAGGGAAATTTCTTTCCAGAATTGAGTACTTACAACGTTCCTGCTGCCACACCAAAAAGAACTGTTTCGCTCTCAGCTGGGGTCCTGGCTTAGGTACTAGTTGCTTTAAATTTTTTTATAAAATATCCCCCAAGAAAGGTATTTTCAAAAAACAAGGCCTGAAAGAACCGAGTTTGGCTTAAAAAGAGAAGAAAGAGGGAACAACAAAGGTCTCCTGATACATGCAGGACCATTCCAGGAGGCCAGATCGGCTGAGCCCCCAAGCTATGCGGAAAACAAAGAAATTGCTGGAAATTGCAGGAGAGATCTGAGTTGGGTCCTAGTAAAGACCCTTAAACTATGAGGCAGGAGAAATACTGGAGCAGGCCGGAAAAGCCAGGGATGAGTCAGGCAGAAGTCTGCTAGGGACGGTCCAGGCGCACTTGGTCTTTAAACCCTTTAAACAATGACGATCATTTTTCATTCACTTCACAAGGCATATTCTATCTCGAGCGTACCGCAACAGTTACAGTTGACTCGCCAAGTCCTGCCCTTCTAAAAACTTCTGCCCCAGAACCATTCTATGTATTGAATATTACAAACAATGAATACATTTGCATTTCCATCAAATTTTGCTTGCCAAACATCAGCTAAATAGTCTGGCATCACCATGCTGCAACTCATAAGTAATTCCTGGGAAAATGGAAACGATTGCGTTTTTAATTTTGTGTTTTAAGCTTTCAGCTGTGGGGTCAGGCCTCTCTGACCAGCACTTTGTTCTGATGCTGGAAGGTGACATTATGCAGCAGCATCTTTCCTTCAGTTTGTGCCAGTCCTACCCAAGAACATCCTACCGTGGTGCCTCCTCATCCCGCTAACGGTCCCACCGAGGGCTGTACTTACAGCAATGCAACATCACAAATATTATTCACTGAAAGCGGCTCCACAGACACCCTGGTGTTTGTCAGCATTAATAACTTGTCTGCAAAACTGGATGAGACCGACAGGAGGGGAGCAGCTTCTGGGCACGAACACTGGCGGGAGGAGCGCAGGTGAACACCCTTAGTGTTAGATTGGAAATTAAGACAAATTTAAAGAATTGCACCCCCTGACAGTCTCACACCACCAGGTGGTGGTTCCAGTGCAGGTGATGACACGATTACGCGCAGCTATACAAGTTATTTGCATCTGTGTTCAGCTGGTAAGGGTTACAAGATAAACAGGGGCATGGATTTGGGAGCGGCTCGGCTGCTGCGCAGGCAGCTGTCCTGCAGGCAGGCATCCCAGCAAAACCAGCAGACCCCAGTTCCGTACAGCTTGCAGGCACGTGTGGGAGCAGAGCATGACCCTGGTGTGGTGAGCAGCACAGTGCTGTTTGAGCTGCTGAACTCAGTTGCAATAATAATAAAAAAAGAAATAGGTTTAACTTTGTTTAAGCACTAAGCCAAATAAAAAGTCAATCATCCTGATCCCCCTGCTGTTTTTTTAAGTAAGTTTGGATGCTTAAGGAAGCAGAGTCATATCAAATCTTATTCTTGTGATTATATTTTTATTTCAGCTTCAACAGCTGAGGTAAATGGTAAATAACGGAGTAGGAAATCATAAATAACCCCTATTATGCATGAAAGACTCCAAGTACGATTGCAATTCCAGACACCCGATAGACAAATTAACTGTAAGCACAAAACTTTCTTTGAGGTCCTGTTAAGATATCCTCACACCATGCTACCCAGGTCCTGAAATATAAATGTATTTCCACTTCTCTTCTGTTCTCAAGCTGTGCACAGCCATGTTTGATCTCCAGGGGCAGAGCACAGCCCCGCTCCCGGGGCCGTGGCCAGGCTCTTTGCTTCCCAGCTCCCCTGGCGGTGCCTGCGCCCCACGACCATCACGGGTGACAGCGCAGGGCCGAGCCCAGCGGGAGCTCCTGGGTGTCCATGTGCGGTACCCACCTTGCTGCCCTTTGTGGATTTTATATGCTATATATGCTCATGAGGTTCAACAAGGCCAAGTGCAAGGTCCTGCACCCGGGTCGGGGTAACCCCCAGTATCAGTACAGGCTGGGGGAAGAAAGGATCAAGAGCAGCCCTGCCGAGAGGGACTTGGGG